TGTTGTGTGTGCTGTTGTTGTTGATGTTGAGGGTGATATCATCTCCTATTCTATCATGCTGAGTTTTATATTCAGTGTGTTCTAACCATATGTAACCTGATATATGATGGTAAATTGTTTCTGGATATTTATTATTATTATTATTATTATTATTATTATTATTATTATTGTTGTTGTTGTTGTTGTTGTTGTTCTTGAGTGTGATATCATCTCCTACTCTATCATGCTGAGTTTTATATTCATTGGGAACTAACAATGTGTAATATGATACATGATGGTCATTGTTTCTGGATATTTATTATTATTATTATTATTATTGTTGTTGTTGAGTATGATATCCTCTCGCCAAAGAGTTATATTAAATGGCTAAATACATAGCCCCCTCCGGCGTCTATGTATAAAATGTTACTGTAGGAGAGTTATTTATTCACAATTATGACGTTTAGTTTAGACGGAGAATGTTTTTCGGATGATATGTTATTTTGCTATCCCGCACAAAATAATGATTTGTAGCTTTGTGTCGCTGTTGTGTCTAAAAATGTTACTCACATGATTTTCGGTCCCCTTCTTTATCCTAACCAATGATTATTATTATTATCATCATTATCCTTCCTTCAAGTTCATGTTCACATAAAATGTCTGGCTGACAACATTCTAAGGATTGAGTTAGAGTTCTTTCTGATGTACATCACTCCCAGTATTCTTGCAGAATCTAGGAATGCCATGGATCATGCATTTTACCACTTCAGAGTATTTTTTTTCATTGTAATTAGGGCTGTAAATAAGTTATTTTAAAAGTATATATGAATATGTAAAACGACATATATAACAAAGGAAAACACGTGTCAAAATATGGAAATTTGCTTCCTGTAAATTGGTGGACCAAGTGAAAGGTAACAAACATTAAATGACAAAAAAAGTTTAGATCTTCCGAGGCATTCGAAGACAAATACGTATAAAGATGTACACAACGATTTCAGAACACTTAATAAATAATCCGATCTCGTCTCTTCTTTCACCAGGTATTTTCAAATATAATCAGCAGAGAGCATTTCGATTTCTATTTGAGATTACTTGCGAGCATATATATTGTCTAAAAAAACCTCCCCTCAGTAAACAAAAAGGTTTTGTTGGTTCTAAGTTCTGTGACTTATACAGTCTATTTTCTGTTAGTATATTTCTTCTTCTCTCTTACAGTAGTTGGCCATATCTTTATATGTTTTGTCCTCGATTGACTTCAAGAGTGATAACCAGAAAACGATTTATTTGTCACTTCGTCCATTTTTTTGTTGTTGTTATATTGCTTTCGATCCACCATTTAACGATGAGTACTTTCTTTCTATCACCCTTTTCCGATGCGTAATTTCTTTGTTTTATGGGTGCATCGTTGAGTAATGGATTGCGGCCGGGACTGAGGAATCGGGGTGCTGAATTTGAATTCATGTCGAGTTCATTGCATTCACTTACGTGATAACACCCTGGAGAGAGTTATAAATACGTCTCTTCTAGCTGCCTCCACGAGCTCTTAGTAAATATCAGGACAATCTGGGTTATATATCCTTGTTTGGCAGCCACTCTAGGCGAAGGAAAATCTCCCAATTCAAAACCTCCAAATATGGGTAAATAATATGGCAGTATAACCTCTGTAACCATAGTTGCCAACCAGTCTAGGAAAAGTAAAACACAATTCAGATACGAAGCCGAAGTCCCTAAGACAACACGATGTCATGTTCAATTTCATTCTAGCAAATCCTGCGACGACGCCGGTGCCAAGTTGATTCATGGGAAGCTGCCGATCTCTCATAAAAATAACTTGCACTCTGTTGAGTACATAAGTATTCGATTACAGATCCATGGTCTCGAGAGACTGTCGGAGGCCATTATTATTAATTTATTTTTCTCATCATTGGCCTTCTGACCAGTTTTATATTTCTTTGTATATAATTATAAATGCTTTTAATCTATACGTTATAAAATGATAAACTTTGTATGCCTGACAAATGAAATGTTTAAATAATCTCCAAAACTAAACATAAAGAATTTTGTTAGAATCTGTATGAGTTTTAATAACACAATATTTGTACGAAGATTACATGGGAACAGAAGTTGTCAAAACAATGCGATTTTAAAGACGTTTGGCCTTATAAAGACAAGAAATATAATTATGTAGCTTTAATTATTATTATTATTAATATTAATATTAATATTATTGTTGTTTTTGTTGTTATCGTATTTTCAAGTCTATCCGAGGGCTACAAGTACAACTGGTATTGTTAATGTCCGTATGCACCACATTTTTGAGATTTTGATTTCAAAGCCCTTGTATATTGATAGTTTTTGATCCTCTTCAAAGATACATTGCAGTCTGCATGGACTGCCATATCGATTAGGAGGCACATTTTGTCTTTGCGGTCTCTAATCACGAAATCAGGGTGATTATTATTTTATACTTCTCTTCTTCTTCTTCCTCTTCTTCTTCTTCTTCTTCTTCTTCTTCTTATTATTATTATTATTATTATTATTATTATTATTATTATTATTTCTGATCAGAGAGTAATTTTAACTGACTAATTACCATGTTTTCTCCGAGGTCTATCTATTCTGAGTAGGAAAGTAGAAGGCCAAGAAAGTGAGAGAACGTTACAAATTTACGGACCCTAATTGTACCAACCATGACCACCAATCTGAAAAAGATATACCAGGCACATGCAACACAGAAAGATGTGCGCGATATAACGACATGTTTTGAGAAAAACCGAGCATATCTTATTTAGAAATACCTTTTTGTGACCTCGTCCACTAAGTTAATTTCTAATTGCTGGTGTCCCCAAGTTGATAGGTACAACTCACAGTTCTTCTTCTTCTTCTTCTTCTTCTTCTTCTTCTTCTTCTTCTTCTTCTTCTTCTTCGTCGTCGTCGTCGTCGTCGTCTTCTTCTTCTTGTTTTTTAATTCCTAATACCAAGGGAGAGATCTGTCGAACTGTTGTAACCTCGGTAAAGGTTACTAAGTTGAATAATCGCTTGAAGGTTGGTAATGAACGATAATACTTAGGACAAGAACACGTATAAGATTCGCCAGCGGCGCGTAGAAGAAGTAGTCAACTGTTAGAAGGGAGTTAACTGAAATCCTCAATGAATCTCTAACACCAGAATATCTACCAACCGCCCCGCGATTAGATGTGGCCCAAGGCCGAATTTAATGCCGGGCCAAAAATTCCCCGTAGACTCCAGATAAAACGTGGTCGGGTAGCTGTTTCCCGAGACGAGACTCAGCCCTTCGACACAGCCTCGTCTGAGGATGCTCTCTTCCCGGAGGTAGAGAGTTTGACCAGCACTGCTGGAGACGATTCTTCAACATACAGTATTTAGTACTGTATTTATGTGAGCGAGGTCATACCCATTATCGTCATTAGATATGCTACACCACAAATAATGTCATTGAAATATTCATGTTAAATAATTTTTTTTTTCATGCGCACTGTGATTGCGCCTTCTATTATTGATGGAGGTTTCCTTCCTTGCATTTTATTAGAAATAATATGGAAGGTCCATTTTAGTTGCTTCTGTTTTTTGAAGGTCCTTAAGTGATTTTGTTTCTGTTGTTTGATAGTGTTCTTTATTTGAGATACTGTAGCGCCACTCTACTATTTTGGAAGAAGGCCGGTACTGTTAAACAGTCGCATTTCTTACTCTTGAATCCATTCTATTCATTAATCCGAGAAAGTGACAGCATGTAGTTGACAATTTAGATATTTCTGAAAGGATTTGCCACCTTTGTCGATAAAAAAGTTTCGATTTGACGAAGTTATTTAAGAACGTGACTTGAGATTTTAGGCTAATGTTTTGGTTTTGTATTTGGCAAAACTATCCCGAGCTTATTCTATGTTCAATTCTCTTATCTCCTATAATAAATTTGTGAAACTGTTCTATAGATCGAACTGTGTGTAGTGTTTATCGACAAACGTTTGTTTCTTTTCACCAGTTTTCACCAATCCGCGTTTAACTCCGCTTAATTTCATTAACCTTCCAGCTTAATATGATACATATCTCTTACGCTCGGAAATACTCCATTGTAAACACATAATTCTTTAATATTAGACCTACTTTTAGCTAATTTCTGCGTAATTAATATTGATTATGAATTATGTTGCTGTCAGAATAGGCTGTCTGTATTTATGATACAAATAGTAAAACATTGTAAAATAACCGTATTATAGAAGGGGAATTTGTAAATAAATTCCCTATAAAATGGTTTAAAAATAAGGAAAAAAAGATATATAACGGCCACAAATAAGAGCCTCGATTTCTCGGAGGATGGCACGATTATATGTATTATATAAATGTATTGCTATTGATTTAACAATAGAAATGCATGCTAAACACATTTACAGTAGAAATACATTGTAAATGATTTCGTCTTAGAAATGTTTTGAAAAAATAGAAACGGTCTTTTACTTGTATTGAAATAAAGCAAACGTTATTGAAAATATGTTGCTAATAATACTTATACTAAAACTAATAATACTTCTAATAATAATAATAATCATTGGTTACTATAAGAAAAATATCCAATAAAAACGTGATTTCTTATTTCAGGAAAACTAATATTCAAGATTTATATTGCCATCAAACAACAGTCAGCAAAAGAGAAAACTACGACTGAAAGGAAAGTAAAAATCCGGACAGTATTCCTTTGCATCTCTGAGCGTTAATATTCCTATTATATTGGATGATAGTTTGTTTATTATGTGTTGGGTCGACTGTCATTAATATTTCTCTCCTTTCTCTTGTGTGTTTTGATCACATCTCTTCTCGGATGTTTTTGTTTGTTTGTTTTTCTTTTCATTTTCACATCAGTTCTAGAAACCTGGCGCATTTTTCTTAGGGTCGAGAGAAACACATGAACTCCCAAGGTCAACAATGCCCAAAATATCACGATTGTCGTGTAAGACAACCCTGATCGATACTGGCTTTGTGGCGAGAAGGTCAGCGGAGATCACGATTTGACCTTTATGGTTAGATACGAGAAGGCTGCCAGGGATGGACAGAGGGTTAGCTGGTTGGACAAAAGGATTGAAGGGTGGGCGGCGAAAGTGTCAACGAAACTCAGGCGGACGAAACGAAAAGCATTAAATTTCCTTTTTTTCCCCATTTTCTTTCGCCATTTTAACCCCATTTCTTTTCTTTTTTTTTTTCCACTTTTACTGGTTTTGTCGATTTTACTCTACTTCCCTTTTCTTCGAAAAATTGAAGACGAGAATATCATACTCACTCGTAACTTCTTAATTCACTTTTTTTTGTATATTTTTGTCAATTCTCTTATTCGCTTCGTTCTCGACTGAGTTTTCTTCTTCTTTAGATCGCTTTCATCAACTTTGAGGTTTTTAAAATACCATTATTTCTTTGTTTCTTTCGAAATTTATGAATTTCTACACTTGCTTTCTGCATCCCCGAATAAGTAGATTAGGAAATCCTCTGCAGAAAATTCACCACCTACGGAGTAAACGCTTAAAGTCTCAAATACGTCCTGGATATGACGATAAACTAGTTACAAGTAGGCTTTGACGAGCGTGTAACCCCTTCTTAATTCCTGTTGTTCCCAGGTCCACCCTAAACCGAAGTGGTAGTACCTGTTAGGGTCCCAGCTATAGACAAATATTTAACCCTCAAACTGAGGTCAAAACACTATGGAAGTGGAAGAATAGATTTTTATAGTAAAAATACCAACAATATATTTTCGGCGAAAAATACCATAAATCCAATTTTAAAAAAGAAAATATTACCAGCAATATATTTGACTCTCGACAAAAAAAATATCTTTATAAAAATACGTCAATGAAACCTGCTCTATAAACTGATTTCTTACAAAGAATACATAGTCTGTGCATTCGAACCTATACTAATAAAAGTGTCGTCAATAAATAACCCACAGAGGTTGATATGCCTTAAAACAAAATAAATCAAACCAAACCAAAATAGACTATAAAACAAAATGACCATTATTTGCCTACTCTGAACCAAGTCAATAGAAATAGAAATGTGAAATATGCACTGCCCATAAAAATAGAGAATATATATAGATGCAAATATACGAAAAGTGTTATTTTCACATAAAATAATGCAACAAATATTGACTTGTTGAAAGAGAAACCAACCCAAAATTAGTATCGCTTTTATATTTTTTTATCATCTCTCTCTCTCTCTCTCTCTCTCTATATATATATATATATATATATATATATATATATATATATATATATATATATATATAGGTTCAGGTTCGGTCAGAAAGTATCCAAATAGTTGCTATGGTAAGGAGTTAAATTAGGCAGAATTAAAGGTCTTTGAACAGACAGACCTTGAAATTCTTTGCGGATGCGTTCCTACCCATTTTCGTTGTATGTAGAGGAAAGTGTGTAGTGTGCGGGCGTCTCACGACACCACAGAGTTTCCATAAGCGACAATGAGTCATGCAGCGATTTTTGTCCAAATACAATATTCCCCATGTCAGACTACCACAATATTACCCAGATTGCACCTTTTTGTGCATCTTTTTCCTCTTCAAAAAAAAAAAATCACACTTGAAAAGAAGACTTCGAAAGGTCGAGTCAATCCAAGAGAATACGACGAAGCAGCTGCTCGCTATTCCGACAAAATAGTTCCAGGAATGCTTCTATCAATTGAAACGAAGCTGGATAATGTGTGTTCCTTCCAAAGGAGACTACTTCGAATTAGATTAGATTCTGTGCTAGTTTTCTTTTTATAGCACCAGTCGTGATACATTTCATCAGCTCTCTCTCTCTCCCTCTCCCTCTGTCTGTATATATATATATATATATATATATATATATATATATATATGTGTGTGTGTGTGCGCGCGCTGGTGTGTGTAAAAGGCGCTCGCGCGTGTATGTTTCTTTTAGTATGTAAGTACTATATTTTGTGGTTACTTTAAACACTTTTCTATCTAACTCAAATTTGATTGTTATAATATTTAATTATATTGTTTATCTGAATCTGCCCACTTAGAATCTTCTCTATTCATAAATCTCATATTAGTTTATCATCAGAGATGTGTGCGTAGGCGTAGCGCAATGTGGATCCGTTGTGTTTATTTCAAATTCTAGCAAAGACCGTTGTGTTTTAATTCACAAGCACACCGATGGAAAAGCGTGAATACGTATCTTCTCCATTCAGCTATAGTGTAATTGCAGAGCAACATGTGGCTTCTGGCTTTGGTTTGTCAACAGTGTAGGAGAACAACACCCGATGAAATTGATGCCATTATGTTCACCCTACTTACAATACTTGCTACACAAACCACAGCAGCAACACATAGCGAAGTGGTTCTAAAACTCTCAGGGAAGTCTAAATTGTTACCAACAAGAGTCGTCTATTACCAGGGCATATAGAAGAAATATGAGATGAGACCATACATTTGCATCACTTGGTCTACATAAAAAAATAATAATGCTTAACCGTAACACCAACGACAATACTCTTGGGAAATAGGAAACAGTTTAAGCCACAACATAACGCTTATATTAATTAAGGGTGAATGAGAAGGCACAGTGGAGTAACGGGTAGCAGCTCGGATTAAGGAATCGGAGAGCCGAGTTCTAATTCCAATTCAGACCATTGCATAATAACCTTGGGAAAGGTATGAAAGGCATGGCAGCTGGTCGCACATTGCTTCAAATTCCGAATTTCACTTATTTGAATAGGCGAATTAGAGATTACTAATTAGCTTTCCTCTGTTTTCTTCTCCACGGTGATTTTATTCAGGCACCAACTTTAAGGTGGCACGGTGGAGTAATGGATAGCAGCTGGGATGGATGAATTGGAGAGGCGAGTTCGAATTCCAGTCAAACCCATTACTTTCACTTACGTGCTAATACCCCTGGGAATCCTCTTTTTCTGCCCCTAGCTATGGATAAATAGCAAGACAGACCAGGTTGCCTTGGATGGCAACTGGTCTAGCGCAGAAAGAAATGGCAACCTACTGCGGAAAAAAATCTGCCTCGTCAGTCGTGTATCGAAAGATACATGATCTCCGAAGCTTGTATCATGCATGGCACATAACTGACTAAATTGAAAGTTTGAATTGAATGTATAGAACTAAGTGTGCCAATTGGCAGTGCCTATGTATGTTGAAAACCATTTTTTCAAATTTCTCCATCGTTAGAGTAACGAGCAATTTTACTTAACTACATGAGCTTGGTGGAAGCACTAGCCTCTTCGGATCGAGACATACATATGGATATTATTCATAGAACCAAACTCGGCAATAAATATCTAAACATCTAGTTCTATAAATCAACTTTCTCAGATCATTGATTACAAATGGCTTTGAACAAAGGAAACTTATAGGTCTCGATAAAGACCATCCTATTTCGATTTTAGTAGATTGGCGCTACACAATCAAAAAGAACTGTACCAATTAACAGAAACCACATCACTCGAGGACTTTCAACAAGAGTAACAAATAAAATGGATAGCACGTGTAACGCGAAGACAAAACAATAATATATACAAGATGTTAATATTCCACACTACTTCAAACACAATAAGGAAGGAGATCCTATATCCTACAAATATTGAAAAAAGCGATAATTGGATCTGGACTCGAGAAACTATTTTACTGAAAAATTAGCTTCATAGAAAGATTTTCTAAATTTTATCGACAGTAGTACTGGTTGTTAGTTTCATGAATGCCGAATGTTTCCCTATATGGAAACATCTAATATTTCTGGTATATGGGAATAAAGTGTCGCTGTCGACACTTGAGGAGTTTGAACATAGATAACCAGTGAGCAAACACAGGCGTTCCCATCATTGAATTAAGAAGACCACCTGACCATACAGAAACGTACAATTTGGAACTACTGGCGTCTAAGTGATTGCTATTTCTAGTCTATCCTCTATTACTATTCGGATCACTTTTTCTACGCTATCCTCTATTACTATCAGTCAGTTATGTGCCATGCGTAATACACGCTTAGGAGATCATGTATCTTTCGATATATGACTGACGAGGCAGATTTTTTTTCCACAGTAGGTTGCCATTACTTTCTGCGGTAGACCAATTGCCATCCAAGGCCACAGAACCCTGTCTGGCCTGCTATTTTTTCATAGCTGGTGGGAGAAGACAAGGATTTATGCCTTTCCCAAGTAAGTACAGAAGTCAATGCAATGGATTCTCCGATTCCTAAATTAGAGCCGCTATCCATTACTCCACCCTACCCCCCCTCTATTACTATACGGAACGCTATTCTCTACTCTATTCACTATACTATTTCTCTATTCGGATTACTATTCAAGTGAGTATTATCGAGCAAGTACTATTAGTTCGAGTGATATTCGAAGGCGTCAGACATCAGTATTGTTCCACGGCATTACTATAATTCTATCTGCTATTACAAATCTCTACTACAACGCTCATTACAACAATGACAACGAGTATTCGTTTGACATCACAAAAAATACCATTACTGTTATCTCAGTGCCGAAGAGAGTCCTAATCTTCTGTCACAGCCCGTGATGATTGGAATAAATTCAGGAAGATCTATCTATGATAATTATTATACTATCTAGCTTGGCGACATATATCTTCTCCGGCTTTGCCCTCATAGCTCAGTGGAAGAAAGAGGGTATCGTATCATTCAACACTTCTAGAAGCAAGCTATTAATATTGCATCCTCACCAAGGATACGCTATCGTTTCTCCAGTCTTTATGGAAGTCTGTACTATCAATTAGGCTTTGAACTTTTATTCAGAACTATACTTACTTATGTGCAATTCTTATATTTGAAGTATTTCTAAAGGTGTTGGAAATAATTTTGTGTTCTTGTACCGCTTCAGAAAGTATCTGACATTTCACAATTCTCTATCTTTTAAAAGTGTCAAATTAGAGCAAAAATTGATTATTGGTGCCATATCTGGATTGAATTTACCCAGTTCTCACTTACGGCCTTGTCAGAATTCAAAGTTGTTTACGCATCTTTGTGGATGATTAAATATTTTTCTACCGTAAAATTCCTTTCTCACAGACGAAACTTCGGAAGCCTATCGATAATCTATCGCTCTTCCAGACGAGCTACATTCCTTAATTCCACCAGTTATAACCTTTACAACAGGGAATCGCCAAGTGAC